AAATGGAATTGGGAGGAGATTGGGAAACTGTGGGGAGTAGCTGCATGGGGCAGAGAATGTGGGAAGCTGGGGGTGGGGGGTGCAGGTGGCAGGGGGTAGGAAGGCTACAGGGGGAGGAAGTTGATGGGACAGAGGGCAAAGGGGCTACCTGACCCCATCAGCCACTGTTTTCTATGCTATAGCAGTTGGGGCAGGGGAGAGCAAATTTAAGACAACCCTCCAATAATCACATTCTATACCTGGAAAGCTATAACACATGTATAAGTTGTCCATATATAGAATCTAATTATGGGGGAAGTCATCATAAATTCAAGTAAATATGGTAATTGAATTATGTTGGCTATCCAATCTGATGCCTGAAAATATGATTTGCTTCTAGTTATGTTTTTTTCTCTCGTGTATATAAGCACTTGGGTATTACTGTGAATGGACATAACATAAAATAAGAACTGGAGAAAGACAGCGCTCTCGTTCCTGTTTCATGCAGTCACAACAGTCTGACAAAACAGTTTGACATGGAGATCTGTGAATTCAGCCACCAAAATTAAAACAGGACTGGAGAGAAGCTCCTGGGGTAGCATGTCCATCCTCTTCCTATTGCAGTTTGGTAGTTTCTTCTCACGTTTTGATCAACTTTAACCATTGGCTTTGTCACTGATTGTGCCAGCCTGTGTGCTAGAAATCCTGCTCTCTAGTAGCATATTCCAAAAATAATCATGTTACATTTTCTCTTAAATTGTTTTTCCTACAGCTTAAAATACATAGAAGATATGAGAGAGTGAACCAATTGTAAATCCACCCTAGAACTGTTCCTAAGGTTTTAGAAAAAGTAGAAAGAGGGGGGTACTATCACATATTGGTATTGTGTAATATCTCCATTACTAATTTAAAGGGTGGGATTGAGTGTACACTTAACAAATAGCAGGTAACACCAAGTTGTATGCAGTGTGCACTTAACAGATAGCTGATAAAACCAGACACTAGAGGGTAGGACTAGGATTCAAAACAGTCTGGATAAACTGGAGAACTGGTCCAGAATCAATTGGATGAAATTCAGCAAGGACAAGTCCAAAGTCCTGCATTTAGGATGGAATAATTGCATGCCCAAATACAGACTGAGGAATAATTGGCTAGGCTCCAGTACTGTAGAGATGAACCAGGGAGTTGCAGTGGACCAGACAAGAGTATGAGCTAAGTGTGCTTCTGTTTATTTAAAAAAAAAAAAAAAAGCATACTGGTTTGCTTCCCCAACAGAGGAAATTTAGGTTGAAGATTCTCACTACAGAGGTAGTGGAATCTCCATGCTTGTAAATTTTCAAGAGCAGGTTATGGTAACCTTAGAATGATGCTGTATCTGTGATGGTCCAGGAATTAGGCAAGAGGCAAGGATTTTGGGGGGTGATATCTTTTAATTAACCAGCTGTATTTTTGGTATAAAGTTAGTAAATTTTCAAATAAGAGCCATTCTTCTTCAGGTTGCTTTAAGAGCAGACTTAGATAGACAGTTAACTGGGATGGTTTAGTCAGAGATGATCCTGTCTTGACTGAAGAGCTTCCCCAGATGACCTCATGAGGTCCTTTTTAGCTGTGCTTTTCTATAATTCCATCTGTGGAAAAACTCATTTGAGTTCATCATGAAAAGTTAATTAATCCTTAATTAAATTGGTCTATATGAAAAGCCCAGAAAAATCCTGCAAATAAAGGAAGCTGTACTGAGCAAAGTAATATCAGTTCAGGTACATTATGTATGTGCATTTCTCTTACGCCTTTTATCTGAGGTTCTTCTAGCATTTTACAAACGCTAAGTAAACTTTACAGCAACCTTGAGAAATAGGTTAGACATCATTATCACTGTCTTTTAAATATAGCCCTGGCGAGCTGTATATTTCTGAGTGATAAGTATTTAATTTACTGATTTCTACCAGGTTTAGAAAATAAAGAAACCAGGAAGAGTATAAAATTCATGCAAACAGTAAATTCAAGAGGCAGGATTTGACTGTCCAGTTTTAGAATTAGAATGCAGGTTTTATCTAATAGTACTGTGGGGAAAAAGCTGTGGTGTCTTTTTAATGTGTACATTTGACAGATCAGTACTTTCCAGCTTGCTTCTCAGTGCATTGGGCCTCACTTTTAAATAATCTAATACAGCGTTAGGCAACCATTGCCAGCTGCAGGCCAGAATGATCCACCTGGGTTCAGAGGTAGATAGGTGACACAAACAGAGACTGCTTTAAAACACAGATTAGTTGTTACTTATTGGTAGGTATTTTTAAGGAAATCTGGGACACTGACCCCCTCACCATCCCAGCAGTGCCCAGCCCAGCCTGCCCCCCACCTCCAGGCACTGCTCAGGAGGGTGCCAAAAGGCACCAAAATACAAGTTTGCCCAGGGCACTGCACGCATGCACACATGAGTAGCCTGCGTTCACAGCAACTCTCCCTCCATCCCAGGCAGGAAGAGCAGTGTCCAGCTCAGTCCACCCTCTTGCTTCCAGCTGCTGCTCAGGAGGAACCAGGTTGGGCAGAGCAGGAAGGGTAGTGCCAAACAGGGACTTTTGTTTCCATTTTCACCAATTGACCGGGATGGCCTACAAAATCTGGGACTGTCCGAGCCAAACTGAGACATATGGTTATCCTACTTACTGGGCATAAAGTCTGCTTAAGAAAATGTAAACCATTTTAAATGAGTGTTAAGAAAACTGACCTGGCATTAAGAACATTGCCCTGAAAATCTACCTGTCCTCTTTCCAGATGTGTTTGAACAGCAGTGTTGCTGGAGGATTTGGCATGGTAATCTTGTGGTAAAATGTTTGAAACTGAATCAGTGAGTGCTGAATGCGTGGTCTGATTTATCTTGAAAATTAAGGTTTTAAATTCTTTGTAGTACTATCTATACTTTCTAATGAAAGATAAGCCTTAGTAAAGATGATTCTGTTTTTAGGAGAAGTTATAGCAGTATGTGGGAGCTGCAACTCTTTGGGCAACTGGAATCCTCAGCTTGCAGTAATTCTTCATCCAGATGTTTATGCTGACGGGTGGTAAGTTTTTAAGGATACTGAGCTAATGCTCATTCTGACCCTGGACTCAAACTCTAAAAACTACGTACACTATTTATAACATTCTCTAGAATTTTGATCTAAGTTGCCTAAATGTTTGCCCAACATTTTTAAACACAAGGTGTCTGCTGAAGTAATTAGAATATGGTGGAGGTGTAACTAAAGTAATACATGTCCTTTCTTAGTTTAGAATGATGCCATCAGCTAAAATAAGGCAATAGCATTTCTCAGGATAATATTTGCCAAAACTTATTTTATAATAGTGCTGTTAAGGGTCATTGACACTGAAACATAGTTAATAAGTATTGTATTATAAAATCTTTTGGGTACTTGCATTCTCTTTCTAAATCTGTACAATACTGCGTTGTTAAGATTTGTTATAAAATCTCCATTCACAGTTAATTTGATTCATTAACATAATTTACTTAGTTTGTAAATAAAATAGTGGAACATTTAGGATATTTCTTCAATAATACTCTGCCATTGTAATGCAGAGGGTCAGGGCTTATGGGATCTTTTTGTAAATCTGACATTGATTTCTGTGTGAACTTGGGACAGGTCATTTAACCTTTTTTGTCTCGTTTCCCATTTGTTAAAAGGCTCTGAGAATTCTTGCATTTTGTAAAGCTCGTGAGATATACAGATGATAAATGCAGTATAAATGCTAAGTGTGTACTTTATCCATGGGTGCCTAAGTTGATTAAGACAGCTTTTTTGTATAACTACACCAAGGCTTATTTTCATATCTATGGAGAAATGCATACATGTCTGATTGCAATTAAACGGCAGACTTGCTTTTTATGTAAAGGCTGACAGTGCTGCATGCATGGGTTAGAGCAGCATTCTCAATGTCATATCTTTTTGAATGGCTCAGTGCAGCATTGATAGTGAATGGCTGTAGCAGTAACAAGTTTGCCGTGCCTTAGTTTTGATATTGCAAAGTTTCTTTTATGTCACAAACCATTTTAAAATATCTTTACATAAACTCACATATTCTCTACAAGATGCAAGAATGCTGGTGTATTTGCATATTTGTATTTGCTTTCCATTCTGTCCAGGATGACTTATTGAATTGACTTAACTATATCCAACATTTAAAAAAAATTGACAAAAGAAAATGGCTTTGGTAAGACCTGTCATTTTCAAATAAGCGTGTTTTTGCTTGCTTTCCTAAAACTTTGCTGTCTTAAGTGTAGCAACTTTTTCAAGTTTTTTTAAGCATACATTAAGCTGAAATCTAGATTTGGATCTATATATAAAAAAAAAAAAAACTTCAGAAAAATGAATGTAATAAAATATTTTAAACTGTTCTTCCACAGCATATTATGGAAAGCTACAGTAGAACTTACTAGAGGAGATGCTATTCAGTATCGATATTTTAAAGGGTGCTTCTTAGAGCCCAAGGTATGTATGATTTTTTTTTTTTTTAATTTAGATAGCCTTTAATTTAACAATGTTTTTCAATTTAACTTGTAAGGAATGTATTTTTACTCCAGTTAAAAATGTTAGGTTTGTACTATATGAAAATTTAATTTTTGGGGGGAACACGTGCAACATTATCCTTAAAGTCTGTGACATACTGCTGTTACATCTGAAGTGTATTTAGTCTAGACCATTCTATTCCCTCTTTCAGAATTACTGTCCTTTTATCCTTTCAGTAACATTAAAATACATGAGGATAGTCTAGAGCTTAAATAACTTATTAAATCCTTTATTACTTACAGTCTGGAAAGATAAAAATGATCTAGTTACTTAACACATACTTTAAAAAGGACAAGAGTATTTCAGTATATTAATGTAAACTTAATAAACATGCTGAAATTCTGCTTGCCCCATTCGTTGTTTTTATAGTAAGAATGTTTTGTCCAAAAAATCAAGTATTAACTGCTTTTTGGCTTATGCAGTTAATGAACATTTACCACTTCCAGTTGTACTGTCATGCAGAGCTTTTTATACAGGTGTTTGCATAAATTAAAAAGGCATATAGTTTTTGGTTTGATTCACATTGAACCTGCCAGTGAAGGTCTAGAAGGCAGACAGCCCATCTCTATATTGGTAGTAACTGTGCTGGGGTTCAAAAGAAGCTGTCTTTGGATTAGGAACGAGAGGGTTCCAAATAACGCATATGAACATATAATCATGGCAGGAGCATGAGCCAGGTCCTTCTTTAGGTGCGTTTCCTAGCAGCCCCTAACACTGAAGAGAAATGACTCAGATCCATCTAGTTATCTCTTTGCACTTGCTAATTCTACCAATATACAGTAACTAAATTTAGGGGTGTGCGAAGCAGGTTGTATCTGATTCAGATTTGGCCTGAATTGGGGACAGTGATTTGTTTTGTTGATTCAAATCACTGTCCCTGCTTCGATTCGGCTTAATCCGAATCTGAAGATGGTTGGTGGCGAACTGGGAAGTGGACTGAAAATACTTCCAGTCTATTTCCAGATCTGCCACCGATCACTCGGGGACCCCCTGTGGCCCCTCCCCAAGCTCAGTGATCAGCTGTGGGGGGACCCTGGGGTCCCCCCCCTGACCCAGGAGGCACCAGTTGCTGAGCTGGGGGGGCCCCTGCATGCTCCCCGGCAGACCCAGAAATGGACCAGAAGTGCTTCTGGTCCACTTCCGAGTTTGCTGCTAAGCGCGCTGGGGACCTCCTGCGCTCCTGTGGGGCACTCCATCCACTCCACCATTGCAGCATTCATGAGCTGCCTGGTACCTTGAGGTATGTAGAAAAAACATTTAAAGCTGTCTATATCCGAATTGCCAAATCTCCCTGAATTGATTTGGAGGGTTTTGATTCGATTTGGAGAGATTAAAGGGCCTCCTGATTTGATACAGATTTAGGGATTCAGCCACCAAAATCTCTGCTGAATCAAATTGGGGATCGAAGCTTCGCACAGCCCTAGTAACTGTTCATCCTGGGCCCAATTCTTCGGTCTTTACATTTATGAGTTCAATGGTAATAAAAATGTGTAGAAGGACCACAGATCCAGGCATCCTTGTATTTCTCAGATGCTCTAAATCACTGTCAGAGTTAAATAGGCTGAAAAAATTCAGTGGTCTTGGCATTTTGGGAGGGATTAGAAGATATCTGAGGAGAAATCCTTCAGTAAAATGAGCCCAGTTTACATCTACTGTGAAAGATACTGCATGTACTATTGTTAGGTTACAGCATGTGAAATCAGGCTAACTTAAACATGCTTAAAATGTTATTCTGGGGAGTAAGAGAGGAGGGACAATGATCAAAATATCATTATGAAACTTCTGTCAAAGTAGGTTTATTTTAAGGCATAACAACTCTGGTATTGAATAGTTAAAATGCCCTAATACTTAGAATGTAAGCAACATCAAACTAGAAAAGCACACTTAGCATAAAAGCGAACTAGCAAGGAATTGTTGATAGTCAAACACGTTTTCCCTTGTAATATTTGTAAAACTTCACAGTATGTATTGGTGAGTGTGTTTCTTTGAGTAGGTGCTCTGTATCGTGCACGCTCTTTGTACCGTGTGATGCAGAGGCTGCCAAGGTAAGTATAAATTTTATGGAATACCAGAGTAAATAGTTTCTGTAAATAAAAACCCAGGTGAAGTCGGCTCCAGACAGCAAACTCTATAAAATGCACCTAGTTAAATGTATGATTTAGGAATTTCTGTACTGTACATTTCTTTTTTTTTTTTCTAGTTAGAAATGTTTTTCTAGTTGAATTGCTCATGGATGCAGTAAAGTTGAGGGGGCCACTTACAGAACAAAAAATAAGACACACCACAAATGAGGGAGGTATATAGAGAATACTAAGTTGCTGATTGATCTATTTTAATAGAACTGTCATTTAACATTCAAATTCAAAACAGCATTTGTAATCATTGGAATTTCTCTTAAGATTTCCTGCTGCTTGACTTAATACTCTTAGTTAATTTTTGCATTAGAGGGGCTTGTGATCTCTACAGCTGCATTAATTTAAAATTGTAGTTAATGTCTGAAAAATTCTTCACTTGTGATTAAAAGCACATAAGTAATTATTTTAATGCTATACACCAATCTTTCATCTTCTAAATAAAATAAGGCGTTAGGCTGTTTTTTTCCATAGCATGCTTAGTCATTTTATACTGTTATGCTGTAATACTTGAGCTTATATTTATGAATATATATTAAACAGTGCTAAGAACTGATCCAGCTTAAAGTGGTTCATGGTTATCAATCACTTCCATAAACATGCTTTTCTCCATTTTCTTGAATCAGCAAATCATACTGAGCTTTGTGTGTATGGTGACTCACCTAGAGCTCTGGGACATAAAAGCTTAGAGAACTGACATTTTTTTACTTGGGTGGATTAGAAAAACATATTGCAGAAAAAGATGGTAATAACAAACATCCAAAGTTAGGAAATGTTGAAAAATCTTTTCCCTAATTTGTAAATTCTTGTTTTGTGCATTATCTTTTACTTAGCTGAAATATTATACGATGTCAAGTTAAGAGGTGTTTATATTGAAGCATTTATAAAATACCAGTAAGAACAACCCCAAGGAAGTTATTTTGCATTTTATTACCACTGGTTTCCCTTCATAAAATAGAAATGACCATTCATGTGCTTGACAGTTTTCTGTGCCAAAAAAATAAAAATTCATGCATGTCCATATCACAGAAAAGAGCTTGAATTAATTCCAAGCATATTAAAGTTATTTCAAGAAGCATCTTTGTGCATTTTTTTCTCAATACAGTAAATACACATTTTTGTTAAAGCGGTGCATTTACTTGCTTTCTACTTTTTTGTACTAGCTTGGCTTTTATCTTGGAAGTCTGCAATATGTTTCTGAAATTTTTCTCTATTAAGGCTCATTTTGCTGCAAGGGTCTTCCCATTTTTGTTTTATGTAATAGGTTTTCAGTTTGATACTTTAAAAAAAGTCCATTTTAGAACATTGTTATGCATGCATGTGTAAGTTCTATATATACATATTCTGTACTGTTATATTAATTTAATGAAGTACTTTTAAATAGCTCACTGATGTGAAGATATATTTTATTTATTCTATAAATTTGTGGTCTTTTTCTGTACAGTCAATACACATGCACATTTAGGCCCACTTCTTTCTAAGACACATGCAGGGATTAATCTGTGAGAGGATGTAGTCGAGCTTTGAAAACTTACATATGCCCCCCATTCATTTTTTTTTTTTAATTGTTAGAAATACCATTTGATACATTAGTGGTCATAAAGTTTTAATTGAGATTTGCATTTATCTTTGGAATTTAAAGAAGTCAATAAATCTAGTGATATGTAATGCACTCAGAAGATTAATTTTAAATTCAGACTTTATAGTTACTGGCAAAATTGTTAGATGGCATCCAATAGCAGACAGAAACAATGCTTTAGCTTTTGCTAAATTACTAGCAGTAAGGGAAATCTCTACTGCATCTGTGCTACGGCAGTGTGTTTGTTAAATCACTGCCTGGAACACAAACAGTAAGCAAAAGCTTTAGTAGCCTAATACTGTATTTACTCGGATAGAAGATGATCCTGTTTTTAAGATGACCCCCCAATAATTAGATTCTGTTTATGGAAAATTTATAAATTTGTTGTTATTTTCCAGGTATAGAATCTAATTATTGGAGGTTTGCCTTGAATTTGTCTCTTTTTCACTGCTACAGCAGGAAAAATAAATCTGGGGGGTCATCTCGTATTCAAGTGAATGTAGTAATTTGGGTTAGATGCATTAAATATGTGGTTTTTATGCCCACAGTCTAGCTTCAGAAAAAAGTCAGCTGACATGCTTGTGTATTGTCTACTACTGTAGTACAAAAATCAAGATCAGTGGAGTGAGAAGTGCAGCCCTCAAAATTGTAGGCCAGTCTTCCAAAGCATTCAGCTACTTCATGTTTAGGTAGATCAGCGTTCTTGGAAATATGCAGTAAAGCTTAGGTTAGACTCTAAGAAGTGTACTTGGGTCAGGGATCTTTTTGGGCCTGCTGATGTTCTTAGTGTCTGTTATCTGTGATGTCGTCTTGGATCAGGACTTTCAAAAATGGTTTACTGCAGTTTTAGTTGTCTGTGTAACTGAGGAACTATATTTATAAACTCCCAAGATACTCCTTCCAGCTGATCTAATGAGAAATGTGGAACTGTTATTGTTTGCTGTGGTAGCTTAACTACTTTTTATTGTTTTGAAACCTGAAGTTAGTTTCTGGTTGCTTCAGTTTGTATCTACTTGAGGCATTATTAAAAAGCTCTATATTTTTAATGTCTCCACAAGTGAGTAACACCATTTGGTTAAAGAAAACCCTTTAGATGCTAAGCATGTTATATTAGATCCACTTTCATTTAATTATGGTCCTTGCAAAGCAATTTGTTTAGATACTCTGCATCTGGAAAGGAATAGACTGTTGCAGAGGTTGCTAGTTTACTTGGTGGGAGCAGGTATAGACATCTGCCCTCTTCTGGCTGCCAAAGATTTCAGATGTGAGAATCCAAATTGTTTTGCAGCCTGAAGTGTGGCTCTGCTATAAGAAGACAGGGAAGAAACTTGACTTGAGTGTTACTTTCAGTTTACTCTTTGGACAGTGCTATTTTTCCTTTCTCTTTCTTTTTCTTAGGAAAACATTGTCAAAAGATTAATAGTGCCGTACTGCTTCTTTTGTAAATGCATCTGTTTTACCTTTAAAGAAGTTAATGCATATTTATCCAGGAGTAGTGTTTTACAAGTGGGGTACATACAGCTTTGAGGTCAGTGTGAATTTTGAATTGCTTTCAGCCATGCTAAAGAGATCACTAGATTTATGGAACATGTGGCGATCTTTCGGTATTTGTTTTTTTGCATTAACTAATCCTAAGCCTAAATAGGTAATATATCCCTGACAACTTCAAGAAAGCCTAGTTGCTGCTAAATTGGTTAACTGTGCCATGAAGATTTTAAAATCTTCAGATATGTAATTCATAGAATCATAGAAAGTTATGGTTGAAAGGGACCACAGGAAGTCATCTAGTCCAACCCCCTGCTCAAAGTAGGACCATTCCGACCTAGATCATCTCAGTCAAAGCTTTGTCTAGCCGTGTTTTGAAAACTCCCAAAGATGGAGTTTCCACCACCTCTGTGGGTAACCTGTTCCAATGCTTTACTACCCTCCTAGTGAGAAAGTTCTTTGTAATCTAACCTAAACTTCCCTTGCTACAACTTGAGACCATTGCTCCTTGTTTTGCCACTACTGAGAACAGTCTAGCTTGGGTGGGCAAAATGCAGCCCGTGGGCCCTTGAGGCCATTCTATCCGGCCCACAGGGCCCCTAAAAAATTTAGAAAATTAATATTTATCTGCCCTTGGTTCCGGTCAAAAATGACTGGAACCAAAGGCAGTAGGACCCAGGGGAAGCCTGGTGGGCTCCCACAACAGCAGGGCCTGCCTGGCCCTGCCCCGCCCCCCAGCCGGAAGCCCCAGCACGTGGCTGCCCCAGCAGTGCCAGAACCTCAGGTAAGGTGGAAGTGGGGGGAGGGAAGGGCAGGGGAGGACCCTGGGCAGGGAAGGAGCCTGGAGAAAAGTGGCCCAGGGCAAAGCTGAGTGCAGGCGGTGGGAAAGCAGCCCTTCACCTGTCCTGTGGCTGGCACCCCATGCTGCAGCCGCTCACAGCCCGCATGAGGCTGCCTGTGCCTGCTCTGGACAGCTCCATGGGTTGTGAGCGGCTGCAGGAGGAAGCACCGGCCACGGGGTGGGGGAGGGACTGCTTTTCCCTGCGCTCAGCTTTTCATAAATTTCATAGACTTTAGGGCTGGATGGGACCTCAGAAGATCATCTAGTCCAGCCCCCTGCCCCAGGGGCAGAAAGTCAGCTGGGGTCATAGGATCCCAGCAAGATAAACATCCAAATTTCTCTTGAAGGTGTTCAAAGTAGGTGCTTGAACCACCTCTGGTGGCAGTCTATTCCAGACCTCTGTGGCTCGGACTGTAAAGAAGTTCTTCCTTATGTCCAGCCTGAAACGGTCCTGAAGGAGTTTATTCCCCCAGGCTCCTTCCCAGTGCAGAGGAAAGTGGCCTCTCCCCTGCCCTGTGGCCAGCGCCCCATGCTGCAGCCACTCACGGAGAAGGCACAGGCAGCTCCAGGTAGGCTGCAGGATGGGGCGCTGGGCTTGGGGTGGGCAAGGGGCTGCTTTCCCCCAGCTCTGAATCACCTTGTAACCCAGCCCCACTGCCAGCCTAGGCACCGCACTGGCTCTGGCCATGCCCATCAGGGGAGCGCGTGGTGACAGAAGCTGCAGCCCCCCCACTTGCTGTGCCGGGCAGTGTTTGCCACTGTTGCCTCTGGGCTGCCCAGCACGCAAGCTCCAGGTGGGCAGCAGCAGCCAACACTGCATGGTGCGGCAAGTGGGGGGGGGCCGCAGCTGCGGCCCCCGACGGGCGAGTCTGGAGCCAGCTTGGAGCCCAGGCTGGCAGCAGGGCCAGGTTATAAGCTGGTGCTGAACGTGGGGAAAAGTGGCCCCTCGCTCGCCCCATGGCCAGCGCCCTGCTCTGTAGCCACTTGCAGCCGACATGGGGCTGCCTGTACTGGCCATGGGGTGGGTGAGGGGCTGCTTTTCGCTTTGCTCAGCACCAACTTCTTCCCCGCCGGCGCGCAGGGGTTGGGGCTGTGCGCTGCCCCCGGCCTGTACCATGGAGCTGGGGGGGCACTGGGTGCGAGTGGGCATGGGAGCCAGCAAGAACGTGGGATCCACACTGGTGTCCCAGGGCGCGGGCTGGGTGGCAGGAATACAGGGGTCCCAGCCAGCAGGCGCTCTGTGGAGCCGGGCCAGCTCCCCCCTCTCCCTGCTGGTGCAGCCCAGCCTGGCTCCCCAGACCCCTGCCAGCCTGTGCCCCACTTTGGTCTCCACCAGTGCTGGCCCTGAAACATTGGTCCCAAGACATTGGGACATTGGTCCCAAGATGGTGACCGGGAGGTGGGTCATCTGTCAAGGGGCAGAGCTATCCATGCAGCCCTCAACAGCCTGCCACAACTGGGTAAGTGGCCCGCCGCCTGAAATAATTGCCTGCCCCGGTCTAGCTGCATCCTCTTTCAAACGCCCGCTTCATGTAGTTGAAGGCTGCTATTCAGTCTCTTCTCAGTCTCTCTTCTCTAGACTAAATATGCCCAATTCCCCCAGTCTTTTCTCATAAGTCATTATTGGTATTGATTTCCCACCCCCTGCCCCCCACTCCCCAGCTTGTCTAAATTGTCCCTTTCATATTGGTAAATTGTTTCTGTTAATCTGAAAGTAATTTAGGCAGTGTTCTTGTTTGACTCTGTTCTTCAGAGACAAATTGGTATTGGAGCTTACATTATTTTATAGGAGGTAAGGATGTATGTGGTTTTGGTTTTTGTTTAAATCCAGGGTGATTTACCAAAAAAACAGCTGAATGGTAAGCACTATAAATAGCCAACAGCAGTTTCTGTGGTAAGAGATGACTACCATTCATTGGTAGGGAAAGCAGGTGATTAAAAAAGGCAGGAAAATATCTTTAGGCATCGAGGGTTTCAATTCAGTACACATTATTTAATAGAGACTTTGATTCAACAAAATCACAAATCGTATGTCTACCGCTAGTTGGATTCTCTTTAAAAGTTCTAAATGAGGGACCTTTTTTAAAGTTCTCTTGCTTCTCTTCTGCTAGGAACAGTTCCTGTTCTCAGTACCCAAATGGCTGTCTAGTATAGTGATTAAAACCGTGTATTGGCTCACACTGGGCACATCTACACATGTGCTGGACTGCGCAGTTGTTACTGTGCAGTCATTTAGTACTTGTTTAAGCAAGTACTAAATGACAGTGCAGTAACCACTCTTACTGCATAGTCCTGGCACCACATGGGTCGTTTCCGATGCTACTGTGCAGTAGCGTTGGCATCATGGTTTGTGCCGCCAGTGCTACATTGCTGTAGTGACATAGTGTCTTGTGTCCAGTGGTTGGCATAGTTTGAGGAAAAATATTTAACTCTGCTCTAAACAGAACTGAATGGAAAGGTCTTCACTGGTAGCAAGTTTTGTGTTGTAAATTTTAATCCTGCAGCCAAACAACTTCAACCCCATTTTTTTGACTGTTCCATGATACCTGTTCCTTTGGCCATGGACCAGCTGTGTAAAATATTTTAATATTATGTGGTGTTCACCAAAATTGCTGCATCTCTTGACTTCCTTCCACCGGTTGTCATCCCTCTATGTCCCCCTTTTTGCTTTACCTTCTAAGCAGTATAATTTTTTTTATTTCCTACATGGAAGAGAAGTAAATTGACCTTGATTTTGTTTGTATTTTAATGAGGGCAATACAGAAGAGCAGGCCATCTGGCATAATTGAGATCTTTTTGCCTTACAGACTTTGAATACTAAGCTGAACACAGTTTGGGGGAGGAGGGGTATCTGTGCAACTTTTCAGTTGCAAAAATGTGTTATGATATTTTAGAGCACTAATTAGCTAGAATTGAAGGAACATATCTCACATTCTTTTTATGAATAACTTACAGTACCAATTTAAAAAAAAAAGCCTGTAATGAATTTAGCAACTAGTTGCTTTTCTTGTTGGAAGGAGCATGTAATTGTTCAGTGGAGTAAATATAAAATCCTAAGAATTGAATAGTTCTATTCAACTTCTCCACCTACCAGTCACAATTTGTCACAAATTTGTCATAGTATGACATAATGTATTGGGTAGCATTGTTACAAGTCTCAGTGGTAAGAAGTAAACTTGATCTTTTTCTTTTTTTTTTTTCATTCTTCAGTATATAAATTAAGCTTGGAAGTACCCCAGATATCATCGTGGGTAGAAAATCAAATATAACATAAGAAATTATTCCAGACATTTAACTTTTAAATTACAGACTATCGATGGTCCCTGCCAAGTCATAGTTCACAAGTGGGAGACTCATCTACAACCACGATCAATAACCCCTTTAGGTATGGGCATCAACTGCATCTGTTTGAGGCATATGCATAAGATTACTAATATGCTGCACATTGGTTTAATGGGATTTGATAACTATTTATAGCTTTAAAATATTTAAATTTAGTATTATTGTCTTACAGGTATCAGTTTTTTCTAAATGCATCCTGGACCTTATTCTCAATATTGTAAAAAAATGTTGAAGCTTAAACACCGTAAGCAAAAGATTTAAAAACACAATGGGCTTGAGAATAAAAGACAATAGGATCCTCAAAGTCATCTTATATTGATTTTAAATTGGTGTTGCCAAATTTATTGATTGCTTTTTACCCTTTTGAGACTGAGGATCCATGTTTATGGTTTTCATAGAAGGTGTGGGGAGGGGGAGGGCATGAACTTAACCACTATTCTTTTTCAGATAAAATTTGCATAATAAACTTTTTAGAGGGAAAAACCCAGAAATTGGGGCATCTTTTAAAATAGGTATGAGTAATATCCACCTAAAATAAATCAAGATGTGGGATCTTAGTTAACTGGTTTATCATAGAACTTTCCTTTGGTGTAGGGACAGAAAATATGCATTTTATTTAGTTGTTCAATTTTTTTTAAAGTTCCCAAGACTTTTCTGAAATCCAGTATTCTTTCTTTTTAAAAATAACTGAAGTCATCTTTAGAATGTCTTTTATCAGTCAGATCCTAATTAGCTATAAGATCAGGAGTGTTGGTCTAATAAAAGATATCACATTTACCCAAAGAACCTTGTCTGCCTCTTAGCTATAAGATGGCATTTATTTGCATGTTGTTATATCTGTGCTTAGAAATCCAAGAATTCCTTACCCAGTATTAGTTTATTCTATATTATACTTATATTGGTTCAGTGAGAGAGTGTACACTTAGTTAGACTTTAGGTAAAGTTAGGACTAATCACATGTACCACAAGTGATAACTGCAGCTTATTAGTGCATATGAATTAGAGCAGTGAAAGATGTCTCTTCCTGCAATAAATGTAAATCGTCTTCCTATATAACATAGTAACTGAATATTCTGGTCTCCACTGGTTATTTAAACTTTAATCCTAATAAATTTGCTTTTGCCTTATTTCATTATTATTTCTTGATTATTTTCAAGTAATATTTATTTTTAACCCTATAATTGCTGAAATCATATGTTAAATGCACAGCTTCATTGTCTTTTAAATTCAGTGGTTAAAAGACAGTCTCTTAATGAGGCAGGCATATTTAGTTCTCAGAAAAGCATCTTACATTTTAAATAAAGTACTAAATGTAATAATTAACAGTTAACACCCCAGTGGAAGCTCCTTGGGATGTATTTCTTTAATGTAAGAGTTTTTTTTGTGGGGGGAATTTAAAGGAAAAAACACTTTCTGAACCTAGTAAAATCTGGATAGTAGAAATCAGGAGCTGTCTGAGGTTTTGCTGTCTGAGAAATTTCTCTCTAAGTTAATGCAAAATCTGGCTGTAGTGACAATTGTACTAAAATTTGACTTTTGAGAATAAAAGTTAATAATGTTTTCAGTGTATTATAGTTCACACAATTTATAAAGCTTTTGGCTATTATTTGAGGGGGTGAGGTGAAGGTCAAAATACTTTGAAAATCCTCCTCCAGGTAAAGAGATGTCAGATTCACAGAATAAGCATTTTTATTGTGACTGACTCTCTTTAGAAACATTTATAGGAATTTTAAAAATGTTTAACAGAAAAACTTGCTTGTATGCTTTCAAGAAACATAGATATTATTCATTGTAGACGTCAGCTACACACAACATTAGAAATATTTTAGTCACTAGCAAGGCATTACAGTAGCAAAATAATACAACACACTGGAATGATGCAAGCAAAACTGTCCAACTACCTGACTCTCTTTCAGATCAGAACACTTCAGTTTGAAGGGCTTGCATCTTACACTTCTTATGGAAGCTGAGAAAATCACCATTTTTACAAGAAAACCAAACCATATGTTTTATAAAGGTTGCAATAAACATGCTTATTCTTTGTCGACTTTTCTTCTGTCAGAGATAGTTGTTAGAAATAAAGTGAAAAGGTGGAACTTTTTAATTTGTGTGTTTTTTGTTTTTGTTTTTTTTTACGTAAAATATGAATATTAAGTAGTTTCCTTCCTTTTTTCCTCCCCTCTTCAATTCTAGAAAATGAGCTCATTATTGATGATGGAGAGTTTGGGATTCATAGTAAGTAAAACATTAATTGTTCTAAAAAATTCTTATCAACATTTCTTAATATTTTTAGAAGCCACATGTTAGATGAAACGTATTCAAATGTTAAGCAGTAGTTTAAACATGAGATTTTCTAATGGCTGTTTTCACATGGCACTCCCATTTTTGGAAGGTTACTGCAGCTTGTATAGGAACTTTAGAGAGAGTTTCCATTGATCACAGTGTGCTGTAATTTCTCCTTTTTGAGGGTGGGGTGGCCCCTGTCTTCCCCATATTCGTAACTGCTCTTGCATACATGAGCATACATGTTATCTGGAGTGCTTGGCATATCTTCAACAAAAATAAATTTTACTTTTTACCTTGTGTTAATTATTTAAGGGGAAAAGTCTAATTGTCTCTCTATCCAATCTGTTATAGTTGAATATTTCTGTCAAGGATGTCAATTTTCATTAAACTGGCTGAGAGAGAATATTTTGGAAGAGATTCTGTTTAATCTTTAAATCTGTTTGCCATTAGACAGTCTAAATACTACAGATGCTTTTGCCATCCTTAGTTAGTGTCCTATGTATATCCTCTTTATACCTTTTTTTCTTAGTAATGTTTACAAAAGCTTTGAAGATGCATGGATATTCTGGTCTTTATTTTCCTCTCTTGTTTGATTAATGTTAAAGCTTAAGTAGGTTTTAAACCCGTCACTTCACAGATTCAGCACTGAATCGCCATCACTGGTTTCTCTTTTCTCATTGTCTTACATATTGTACATTTTTGTGCTCTGTAACTTGCTTTGAGGTGCACTCTTTTTAACATGTATTACCTTTAAGTTGAACATAGGGTTGTTCTTATAGTAAATATACAGATCTGCTTATGTGATTACACATGCAAGCATGAGTACCTTGCATATAATTTCTTTCTTGCACAAATTTTAGTATAAAATCTCACTTTACAGTTGTTTTAGCACACCCACCCTTTGCTTGTTGCTCAGTGCCTTGCCCCCTTGTAAAATTAACCAATTCAGCCCTTCACTTTGTCCCATTTCACATGTTGGTTAAGTTGTTCCAATATATTTTTTCAGTTCTTCTTCACCTTTCTCCCCATCATTGGCTCTTAATTGCTTCCCCACAGTTTGTTTCCCTTCACTGCAACACCAAATCTCACTTATTGGTCATAGCTCTTCAAAGTTGCAGGAGCTAGTTCAGCATCTTGTCAGGAAACTGTTGCTTTGTGCTTCCTGATTATTATAGTTGCATACTGTCCTTGTTTCCTTGCAGAGAGGCTGAGGATTCCTGTCTACCCTTAGATCAGCCACAAAAGTCCCTTGTCATCTTAAACACTCGAGTTTCCTGAAGATGAGTTATTTACAGTTGTCCTAGCAAAAATATTTATTTGAGCAGAAGGAGAAACATTGTTTACCAATTCCAGAACCTTAGTTTAACTGTCTGATTTTTGGATTGTGAGCTCACCCCAGGGCCCAGGCCATTTTTTTTGGCTAGAAATAAGCAGGTAGTTGGTGTTACCATAAAAAAAAATTCAAAATAGTTTTCTTTTTCGGAGCCTTCCCAAGGATTGCATGTTCCTACTTGTTTTCCTTTGTTTCCCTTTGAAAATGGTGTCATGTAAGGAGACTTGTGTTGATTGCTGTTTATTTGCTACCCAAGATGGTTAGCAGTGAGAAGGACAAAGTTAAGGATGAATCCAATAATTTTGCTGACACATCATCAAATAAGCCCTATTGAAGACACTTAATGCCAAGTTTTGGAAGACAATGCCAAAGGGAGCTACCTTTTTCTAGAATGAAGAAAATTAGATTTTGGTATTCTCTGTTCAGCTATGTTGATTTTGTTTTTGAAGCTCCTTATGATGTTTTATAACTGACACTACTTTTCATCATACTTATTTTGTCAGATGGGGTTGAAACTCTGGATTCTGGATGGCTCACATGTCAGACTGAAATAAGATTACGTCTACATTATTCTGAAAAACCACCTGTCTCAATATCAAAGAAAAAATTTAAAAAATCAAGGTTTAGGTAAGAGCATGTGAATCGGAGGCTGTAATTTATTTTAAAGTTAATTTTTTCTTTCATTGCTAGTGTACTGTAGTTGTCTTAAACATTTTAGTTAACATTTACAGCTTTAGTTGTAAAATTATTTATAGAAGATGCACGATCATATGTATGTAAGTAATTAAGTGATGGTCCTCCATTGAATGCAACAGTGTTTGTTAGCATCCAGGTTCTGTAAGGATCCGACATGTTCTACTGCTACTGATACAACTTTAATACTATGTATTTATAGAGCTGTCACTTAAGAGAAAATGCTAATCTTGTCTCAGATACATTTGTTCAGTTCCATAATTTCTTGGGGTCCTTCATAAAATATTCAACTTGATATTAAATGGGACATTTTTCTTTGCCTAGAAGTGTGAAACTGTATACTCAAACAAAATAACTATTTCAGAATTATCTTATTATGATTCACTTCTTTCTTTTCACTTTCCATAAGTTATTTTACCATTCTACTAAGCTCCTCTTTGTATTATTTAAACAAAAAATGACAAAATAAATATTCTAACACCATATGGAAGAAGGCAAACTGATTGGTTTCCCCAGGAGACAGAGATTTATCTCCTGTTGTCTTAGTATTTTATACTTCCTGCCCTGGAATCATGGGATTAATTTAGTTCTCTGCCCCTTCTACTTCTACTTTCATTTTTCCTTTCTCTCCATCATTTTCCATCATGGGAAGAGGGGAGGCATTTCCTTTAAATAAATAAGACTTAAGGCAGTGGTACTTCTCCCCTGAAATTGCAAATGCCTAAGCCACAGGGATATTACAACAGTCTCTTAGGCACCCTTATTGTTTCCTCCCCCAACATTAACTATCAGTATTATTACTAGCACATTCTGCACAGGAACAGTTATTTGTAGTTTGGCCCCCTGTGATGCTGCAGCCTTGTACTTCTGTACCTCTTCTCTTGTCTGTCCAGAAGTTTTGGGGTGCTGTTGCTCCCAAACTTTACCCAGCAAGTATATTGTGCTATCCTGTGTGGGCTGCCCTTGTATAGTGTCTTCAGTCTTCCTTTCTCACAAAGCGTTGAATGGTCCCTTGAAAGACAAGGTCTGTACTGAGTCTGGTGTGTCAAAGCTTTTTCTTTCTCATTAAATAATTTGGTACCCCTTACTATGGTATAATTGCTGCCAAATACTTTCAGCAAAAGACCAACTTCCTAGACTCTGTGGCAATAAGATACCATTCTCCAGTAACCAAATGCCTTCATATAAGGGAGAACACGCCTTTCTTTGTGTGGATTTAAGATTTCACCAATGGCCTAGAGCATTATGGCTTATTTTTCTTTGCTCAATTATTTAATTAGCTGGGGCTTCTCTCTTACGTTCTGTGTCTGCAATACTCATGTCTAATCTCAAATAGTTTTGATAATGCCTAGTATCATCCTTATCTTTATAAAGATGGCTAAATTTCAAGTTTAGTGACACGGGTGCATGTTATCCACTCATAGCAGGATTTTTAGTCCTGAATGCTTTCAGAAACGGCAGTTATCTCTGCTAACAGCAGTTACCTCTGTTTTTGGTGTATCCACTTATTCTAATAGTAAAGCTCGTACCGTATTGGTACATTGAAAGATCATCTAAGGACAGGTGGATAGTTGGAGCAGTGCAAGTAAAATGTTTTAACTAATGTAGGATATCTCAGTGGTCACCTGCGGGTTATTGTGACTTCTTTTTCAGGGTTGGAGTAAAAGGTAATAACTTCGTAAGGACTTGATATCGATGTTCTGTGTCAGCAGTATTTTCTTTGGGAACCTGTCTTTCCCTTTAATGTCTATATGGACCTCCTCCTGAAAAATACTTTGTTTCATTAGTCTGCTTTTGTTTTCATGATTGACAAAAGTATTGGCAAGTAATATATTTCCATTAATTCAGCCTTTCTGCGTCCTTATTTTCGTTCTGTGTCATGTTTGTTGTATGTATCTTTGTCCTGCAGGGTAGGTCCTACAGGAAAGCACAGAGACTTCCCCTCTCCATAGTGTTCATAATTACTTCATTGTTTTCAGTCAGGATTTTTTATCTTTGGTTGCCCCACTTGGCCCTTCCATGTTGGTGGTCAGTCTTTTGAAAATGTCCCTTTTTAATTCTGCAGCTTGTTATTTCTTTGACAGTCAAGAAGACTACCTCACTGAGACTTTTTGGATATTTCACCCAGCCCTTTTAACTCTTGTGAAGTGTCCTGGTTGCAAGAGAGACTCTTTAAATATATAAAAGTCAGTCAGAAAGTAAAACTATGGAGTGATGGCCCCAGGATGAAAGGAGTAGCGAAGTATTATGCTTATATTATTTTGAAGTCTGTGTAATCCTTGAAGGTACTCTGCATTTCTTCCAAAACAAGAGGGTATAAAATTTATATTAGGTCCTCCAACCATGCATTTTGTAGATTCCTCATTTTCAGTTGTTTCTGCACTGAAGATAGTTAACTAACTTTCCGGTATTTGGCTTTGTTTTTCTTTTGGGTGAATAGAGTGAAGCTGACTTTAGAAGGTTTGGAGGAGGAGGAAGAGGATGATGACCAAGATAAAACATCTCCTACTGTTTCCCAGAAAATGGCAAACACCCTGGACATTGCATTAATAACTGATACAGAATGCAAAAGTCGGCACTCTCAGCCAGACTGTGGGTATGCTTTGCAGCCTGATCGATGGACAGAATACAGTATACAAACCATGGATCCAGATAACTTGGAATTAATCTTTGACTTCTTTGAGGTATGTCTCTTTCTGGTGTGTCCTTGTATGGAAGCAACTGAGTTTGTTTTACTTCTTGGTTAACAGGCAGCTCATTTTTCTTGATGGTTTCATTATTGAAACCAAATGTAGTAGTGTTAAGGCATGTTTTTGATCCTGTGGACTCTTGAACATTGACTTCATGATGAGTCTTGTGGATGGCGGTGGATTTGACAACAAACTATTCCTGTTAAGCAAACATTTAAAAAATTTTGAAATGCATGTTTTATAAAAACAAGACGTAGTTAGCTGAAGTCAGCAGAAGGTAGGGTAGAGATGCACCTTATAGACTACCTGAATGAGATACATAAGCTAACAGGGATCTCCAGGGCTGTGTCTAGGTAAGCAGGGAAACCTGCCCTTGAGATCTCCAGGGGTGCTTCTGGGGAAGTGAAGAAAGTCAGGATTTTCTTGTTTACTTATATGGGTCTCTAGAGATTCTGGGGGCTGATCTTGGTAAATAGGTGCCTGAGTTCCATGCCTCCACACCGGGACACGTGGGCTTTCCCAGCTTATGGCAATGCACCCCTGGAGCACCGCTGGGGTTGGTATCTCTCAGTGGGGAACTTCAGCTTCCCTCCTTATAGAGACATGCCCTGAGATTCCCCTGGGTGCTTCTGTGTAAGTGGGGAAAGCTGGGTAGGGACTTGAGGGGCCCTCAAGCCTCCAGGGCACCTGCCCAGGGCAGCTGTAGAGTAGGGGCAGTTCTGTTGTCTGCTAGGGCCATGCAAAGCTTTGGTCGCTGATTCGATTTGGCAGAGGTTCAGTGGCCAAATCTCTGAATTGAGTTGGGAGACTCTTTAATATCTCTGAATCGAATCAGAACCCTCTGAGTAGATTTGGAGAGATTCAATGATTCGGACATAGACACACCTTTAAATGTTTTTTCTACATACCTCTAGGTAGCAGGCAGCTTGTGAATGCTGCGATGGCAGGGCAGATGGAGTAACCCAAAGGAGCATGGCGGCGTTCCCAGCACACTCGGTGGCAGACCTGGAAGTGGACCGGAAGCACGTCTGTTCCACTTCTGGGTCCGCTGCAGAGTGCAAAAGGGACCCGCCCTCTGGCTTGGCAACTGGTGCCTCCTGGGTCTTGGGGGGGTGGAGAGGGGGAGCACCCACGGTCCCCCCACACCCAGTTGCTGAGCTGGGGGGACACGGGTGTGGGGCGGCAGTCTACTTCCACGTCCACTGCAGAGCACATAGGGGACCCCCCACCCTCCTGTGGGACGCTCCATGCGCCCCACTATGGCAGCATTCGCAAGCTGTGCCTGGTACCTCAAGGTATATAGAAAAAAGATTTAAAGCTTTTTTTAAGCTTTACAAGATGAACATGAGCCTGCAATGTGATGCTGCAGCTAGTAAAGTGACCAAAACGCTGGCTTGCATCCATAGATGCTTCTCAGGCAAATCCCAGGATGTCATTCTCCCCTTGTACTTGGCCTTGGTGAGGCTGCAGCTGGAGTACTGCATCCAGTTTTGGGCTCCACAATTCAAAAAGGATGTGGAGAGGCTTGAGAGGGTGCAGAGGAGAGCCCACACGCATGATCAGAGGTCAGGAAAACAGACCTTATGATGACAGGCTGAGAGCCATGGGGCTCTTTAGCCTGGAAAAGCGCAGGCTCGGGGGTGATCTGATGGCCACCTATAAGTCTATCAGGGGTGACCACCAGTATCGGGGGTAATGTTTGTTCCCCAGAGCACCCCAAGGGATGACGAGGTCAAATGGTTATAAACTGCTGCAAGACCGTTTCAAGCTGGACATAAGGAAGAATTTCTTTACTGTCTGAGCCCCCAAGGTCTAGAACAGCCTGCCATCGGAGGTGGTTCAAGCACCTACATTGAAGACCTTCAGGAGTAAATTGGATGCTTATCTTGCTGGGATCCTATGACCCCAGCTGACTTCCTGCCCTTTGGGCGGGGGGCTGGACTCAATGATCTTCTGAGGTCCCTTCCAGCTCTAATGTCTATGAAAGCTGTGTCTATGGCTGAATCGCTTATTCTCTGAATCAGCATTGAATCTTCAGATTTGGATTCGGCTGAATCAAGTTGGGACAGTGATCCGAATCAACAAGTCAAATCATTGTCCCCCAATTCGGGATAAATCTGAATTGAATATGACCCCTTTTGCGCACCCTTACTGCCCGCACTCTCCGGCAACAGAGTTAATAAATGTCCCATAGTTTGTCTGAAGTTGACCACCTTTCATAAATTTCATTACTTATTGCATGTGCTTGTCTGGGTATACCATGAGGTAATTTACATTAGAAACTTGTAGAATGAATTAAACATGTACTAATTTAGATTATGCGTTTGATTGTTTCCAGTGTGCTTGTTTAGTTGACATCTTCCTTTCCAAAAACAAAAAATAGATTCAAAATAAACTAAACAAACCAAAGCGGTATGTCTGAAATAAAGTATTTTCTGAGCCTAGACTGAGTGGCCTTGTAATGAAAAGTACACTGAAAAAATGTTTTATACAAGTACTGATGTAGTACATTAATTTGAGGAGTAAAGCTTCCATGATGGGGAGGAGAAGGAGGGGCATGGGGGAGAGAGTGTTTTAATGTGTTTTAGCTTTTACAAAAAAATCTAATACTTCTATTTTTAGGAAGATTTAAGTGAAGCGGTAGTACAAGGAGATGCACTGCCAGGCCATGTGGGCTCTGCTTGCCTCTTATCTTCCACGATTGCAGAACAAGGAAAGAGCTGTGGAATTCTCACACTTCCTATTATGAGCCGAATTTCAAGAAAAACTATTGGAAAAGTTAGAGGTATGCTTCCTATAAACAAGAAATTCAACATAAGCATGACCTTGAAATTGAATAAATAATGAATGTTTTGTTTAATATAGAAATTCTAAAGGGAGTGAATGTGATTTGGGGTTATGGCACTTCAAACTGGTAAGCGTGAATCCCATTAAAATTCAGTTTAAGCAGTCAGGCTAGCACCAAAACTGAAGTCCTGAGCTTGAGTGTAGCATTGCCTGCATAAAATAATAAGGATCTGAGGGCTTCTATACACGTGCAGCAGGGCTGCTCTGACACACTAATTACAGCACTAAATCTAGTCTGCTGGGGCACTGTAATTACCATGCTTCAGCAGACACAGTTAATTGTCAAACAAGCTTCAGTTTAAAGCTCCCCACTGCCATTTTCCAGCATGGGCCTGCTGATGCATGTGATGCTCCAGGTGCTTTTAATTAGCATGCCTCTTGGAGCTGCACTAATTAAAGCTCCCCCCACCCCGTAGCATGTGTATAAATGCCCTGCCATTTTGAATAGATCTGTTTTAGCCACTTAATTCAAAGACTTCAGAAATGTGCTTCATGAGTTTAGACTAAACTTTCTTGTGATGTTTTTCACTTCTGTTAGGTGATTCTGTGGTTGGGATGGTGTTTAAAGATCAAGTAATTAACAGTGTATGTAGTGTTGCTGTACCTCATATAATTTTTAAGTTATTGGGGTTCTGAACCACTTACAGAGAAATAGATAGATGGGTTTGCTTATCATTTAAAAGGTCACAGCTTTATGTAATTCTTTATGTAATTTTTTTTTATAGTGGACTACATCATTATTAAGCCAATAGTAGGATACAGTTGTAATATGAAAGCCTCATATGCTAAGTACTGGAAGCCAAGAACAACTCTTGATGTTGGACACAGGGGTGCAGGAAATTCTACAACAACTACCAAGTAAGTTCCTGTGCACTTCAATTTTAACATTTTTTGTTTACTTCCAGTTGCATAAGTGTTAATTTGCATTTTATGAAAAACTCATGAAAAACAAAATTACTTAAATTTGTCAGGTTTTAATTGTTCCATGATGATAACTGTATTTTCAGTTTTTAATCACTTGCTCTGCAGTGTTATTCCTAAACCCTTTTTTTCCCTTTTTATTATTTCAGGCTCGCTAAAGTTCAGGAAAACACTGTTGCTTCTCTAAGGAATGCTGCTAGCCATGTATGTATATACAACTCCTTTTAAAAAATTGATAATTTCTCCTATGCATTCTCTTGAAAATATAATAACTCAATAAGATAAATGTCATCTAGCTGATACAGAAATGGTAAAGTGAACAAATGGAGTTGTGGCAGTAACTCTCTGTGAAAGTTGATAACTTTTTTCTTTATATAATTAGTTGAGGCTCCCATCCTTGCATTTCCCTAAAGCCTGACATTTTCCTTAAAGTTGATAGACTCATAGAAAACCAGGGTTGGAAGGGATCTCAGAAGGTCATCTAGTCCATTCCACTGCTTAAATCAGGACCACCCCCAACTAGATCATCCCAGCCAAGGCTTTGTGTAGCCAGGTCTTTAAAACCTCCAAGGGTGGAAATTCCACCACCTCTCTGGGTAACCTGTTCCGGTGCTTTACTACCCTCCTAGTGAGGGAATTCTTTCTGATATCTAACCTTAATTTCTCTTGCTGCAACTTGAGACCATTGCTCCTTGTTCTGTCATTTGCCACCACTGAGAACAGTCTAACTCCAGCCTCTCTGGAACTACCCTTTAGGTAACTGGAGGTTGGTATTAAATCCCCCCTCAGTCTTCTCTTCTCTAGACTAAATAAGCCCAGTTCCCTCCGCCTCTTCTCAGAGTCATGTGTCCCAGATGCTTTTGTTGCCCTCTGGTGGACTATCTAATTTGTCCACATTCTTTCTGTAGTGGAGGACTCAAAATTGGACACAGTACTCCAGATGTGACCTCCCAAGTGCTGAATAGAGGGGAAGAATCATTTCCCTTGATCTGCTGGCAACACTTCTACTAATTTAGCCCAACGTGCTGTTAGCTTTCTTCACAACAAAGACACGTGGCTTATATTTGGCTTATTGTCCACTGTAACTCCCAGATCCTCTTCTGCAGAGCTGCCTCTTTAGACATTCAGTCTCCATCCTGTACTGTTTCATGGGATTGTTCCATCCTAAGTGCAGAACTTTGCATTTGTGCTTACTGAACTTCATGAGTTTTCTTTTGGTCCAGTCTTCCAATTTGTTGAGGTCTCTCTGAAGCCTAACCCTACCCTCCAGCATATTTACTACTCCACCCAGCTTGATGTCACCCGCCAACTTGCTGAGGGTGCACTTCATCCCATCTTCCAGACCATTAATGAAGCTATTGAACAAAACCGGCCTCAGGACCAACCCCTGGGGCACTCCACTTGATATTGGATGCCAACTAGACATTGAGCCATTGATTTACTGTCCTTTGAACGTGATGATCTATCTAGTTTTCTATCCACCTTTACAGTCCATTCATCCAACCTGGACTTCCTTTGCTTTCTGCTGCCAGCGTTGTGGGAGATGATATCAAAAGCCTTGCTAAAGTCAAGGTATGTCTGCTGCTTTTGCTGCATCCACAGAGCCAGTCATCCTGTCATAGAAGGCAATCAGGCTGGTCAGGCATGACTTGCCCTTGGTGAATCCATGCTGATTGTTCCTAATCACCTCCTTCTCCTTCAAGTGCTTAGAAATGGGTTCCTTGAGAACCTGCTCCATGACTTTTCCAGGAACTGAGGTGATGCTCAGTCTGTAGTTCCCTGAATCCTCCTTCCCTTTCTTAATGAAGGGCCCTATATTTGCCCTTTTCTAATAAACTGGGACCTCTCCTGGTCACTACAGGTTTTCAAAAATGATGGCCAGTGGCTGTGCAGTCGCATTGGCTAACTTCCTCAGCACCCTCTTGTGCATCACATTTGGCCCCATACTTATACACATCCAGCTTTACTAAATAGTCCCTAACCTGTTTTTTCACAACTGTCAGCTGCTCACCTCCTCCCCAAACTGTGCTGCTGAGTGCAGTAGTCTGGGGACTGACTTTGACAGTGAAGACTGAGGTAAAAAAGTAATGGAGTACAGGCTGTCCTTGATTTACAACATTTCAAGCTGCAATGTTTCACACGTATATTGTTTATAAATTGACAGTTTCAACTTTCTGACATGAGTTTCGACTTTACAACACTTGATCCAATGCAATACCATGCCAACGAACAAATTTGCTGCGTTGCCCATCTCCCTGGAGAACACATGTCCAAACTTCCTTGGACACTTTCTTTAAGAAAGCAGACAAGAGTTCAGAAAAACCTGCAGCCAAGACTCCTGAGAAGACTCCAGGCAAAAACCCTTGAAAAAGTGCAACCAAGAGCCCTTCAAAAAGTCCAAGGAAGTCACCTCAAAGAACTCCTTCCAAATCAATATGATTGCTATTTACAATATAAATACATTACTGTAACTATATTACTCATCTATAATTGATTTGAGTACAAAATTCTGGGTTATTTTTGGTGAAAATAGGGTATCGGGCCAATAAATCCCTCATTTATAACATTGTTTTCTGTGGGAAAATCGGTTCAGTGTGACAACGTTTTGACTTAAGACATGGCTTTCAGAAATCAGTTGTGTTGCAAGTCCAGGGGCTACCTGTACTTCAGCCTTTTCTGCGTCATCTGTCACTGCTAGGTTGCCGCCACCATTCAGTAAGGGATCCATACTTTCCCTGATCTTTCCCTTGTTGCTGACATACTTGTAGAAAATCTTGTTACCCTTCATGTCCCTTCTTGATTTCTTCCCTGCATGCCCAAACAGTACTCTTCTGCTCCTCCCTAGTTTGTTGTCCAGTTTTCCACGTCTTGCAAGCTTCCCTTTTGTGTTTGGCTTATTGAAGAATTCTCTGCTAAGACAAGCTGGTCTTCTGCCATACTTGTTGGTCTTTTTGCGCATTGGGATGGCTCATTCCTGTACCCACAGTAAGGTTTCTTTGAAGTACAGCCAGCTTTCCTGGACTCCTTTTCCCCTCAGACTGGCCTCCCAAGGGACCCTGCCCATTAGTTCCCTGAGGGAGTCAGAGTCTGTTTTTCTGAAGTCCAGGGTCCTTACTCTGCTGCTCTCCTTCTTTCCAGTCCTCAGGATCCTGAACTCAATTGTCTCATAGTCGCTGCTGCCCAAGTTGCCATTCACTACTACATTCCCCACCAACTCGCACCTGTTTGTGAGCTACAGGTCAAGAAGAGCATGACCCCTACTTGGCTTCCAACAAGAAGTTATCTCCAACACTCTCCAAAAACTTCTTGGATTGCCTGTATGCTGTTGTATAGCCCTCCCTGCAGATGTCAGGGTGATTGAAATCCTCCCTGAGAACCACAGCTAGTGATCAGGAAACTTCTTCTAGCTGTTTGAAAAAAGCCTCATTCACCTCATCCTCCTGGTCTATATCAGACACACACCTTAACTTTCAGTTCTTTCTGCTTGTTTCTCAGGGTCTGTGCATTTGTTTGGACACCTGAGGTAACTAACCGATTGCCCTACTTTCTCAGGAAGAATGAGAGAGCCTCCCTTGTTGCTTGTACTTTATCCAGATCCCCTATTTCCCCACTTACTTCAGGGCTTTGGTCTCCATTCCCCAGTAAACCTAGTTTAAAGCCCTCCTCACTGGGTTAGCAAGCCTATTGGCAAAGATGCTTTTCCCTGTCTTTGTTGGATAGATCCTGTCTCTTCCTAGCAGGTGTTCTTTTTGGAACAACAGCTCATCGAAGATGGCAAAATCCTGCTGACGACGTCATCTGTGCAGCCATGCATTGATCTGCAGGATGCGTCCACTCCTCCCAGGGCTTTTCATTTTGACCAGAAGAATCAAGGAGAACAACACCTGGGCCTCTGTCCCCTTCACCCTTGCACCCTGAGCCCTATAGTCACTTTGGATTTGCTCAGGATTACCTCTGGCAGTATCATTGGCACCCACATGCATGAACAGCATGGGGTAGGAGTCAGAGGTGTGGATGAGTCTTAGTAATTATTCTGTGACATCGTGGATCCAGGCTCCAGGCAAGCAGCTGACCTCCTGAGACAACAGGTCAGACTAGCAGATGGATACTTCCATCTCCAACAGAAGGGAGTCTCCAACCATCACCACCCATTGCTGCTGCTTGGTGGCAGTGATCTTGATCCTCCCAACCTTGGGGATGCCTAGCCTGGCCTGGCCTGGCCTCTTCCGCCAATGGAACGTGTTCATCTTCCTCTGTTGCTAGGGATCCATATCTCTTCTCCAGCCAGATCGCTGCAAGTGAGGATGAAGACTTCTGCTTACTGCCAGAGATCATAAGCTTCCAGCTTTCACCCTCCTGAGACTCTGTATCTTATTCCTTCTCTAGCGCTGCCTCTGGCAGTCCTTCCTCCATAGTCTTAGAGGTCTCCTCCAGCGTTGAATCAATGAATATCCTCATGGTGGAGGATGTCAGAGGCTTGCCACCTCCTCCTGTAGCTCTCTTGCCTGCTCCCTGTAGGACACCACTAGGAGGCACCGCTTACATTACAGGTACTCCCCACCTGGCTGTCATTGAAAGGAGCCTGCAAGTCATGGTCTCCACGGTGCCAAACCAGGGAACAGGGTGGGATCCTTGACAGTGGGCAGACATCTCACAGGTAAAAGCAGAGGAAGAGCTGGCAGTAGCTCTGGCTTTGTGACATTGTGGAGTGTTCTCTTTGGGTCTCTTAAATCTGCTGCACCTCTCTTCCTTCCCATCTCTCCAGGCAAATCAAGGTGGGGATTTATGTTAGGCACTGTAGATACATAAACCCATTTATAAAGTTTCTCTTCAGTTGTTGAATTCAAGAACTTAGTCAATATGTATACTGTAATGACTTTTTTAAAATCAGCCAATGTAATTATTTTATTTCAGTTAACATGCAAAATGTAACAATTGCCAGCTATTAACCCTGACTGGGATACCTTGTTCCTAAAAGTTTACCTGTGTATATGGGTCGTCTTTCTTCTGGGGACTTGATAATCTTCATGTGTGTATGTGTAGTTACTACTTTTCAAAAAATTCTTGGCAGGGAGCAGCATTTGTGGAATTTGATGTACACCTTTCGAAGGATCACGTGCCTGTTGTATATCATGATCTCACTTGTTGTTTGGCAATGAAAAAGGTAGGTAAAAATGTATTGGCTATATTTCTTTTTACTGTGGCAATTGTAGCTGAAATAATGCAACTGAAATTTGTAGGCACCTAATAAAAACAAGATGGTCTTCTGAGATGCAAATAGAAACATATATTTCTAGAGTTAATGAATTGGAAATGTTTGTTTTGCTTAAAAATATACCACAGAAGGTGAGCTAACTTAATACTTTTCACATTGACGCAGCAGCAGGAACAACATTTCAAAGCTGCGATCTGACACTTTCTCATAATATAATGTAGTTGTTCTCAACCTTTTTTTAGTCCATGACACACACAATGTGGAAAACTATCATCTCCCATACTTCTGCCCTAATAAGTTGTCACAAGATGACTTCCCTTCCCCCCCCCATTATTTCATTCTTGGGGATGGAGATAGAGGGAGATTTTGAGAAACTAGCTTTGCTACCACTTCTAGAACTATTTTATCTTTACCTTTATGCACAGCACCTTAATGATGAGAGTAGCTGAGGCTAGGATTGAGTGATAGGCCACAGAGAGTATAATCAGGACAGAAAGGACATCAGCAGTGAAAAGCTTCCCTTCTTACCTGGGCTCCCTTTGTCCTTTAGGACCAAAAGGATGCCACTGTGCTTTCTCAGACAGGAAGGCTGAGATTCTCATGGTCACATTTGAACAGAACTTGGCTGAGCAGCACTAGTATAGCATATACTGGTGGTGATGGCAACACTGAAAAGAGCACACCTTAAATACAGTTGCAGACTCTCTGCAACCTTTAAGTTTCATAACACGCAAGACATTGACAATTCTTAATGAATTAGATGATCATAAACTTTTTTTTAAATCCCTTTATAAAAAAAAAAAAGCATTTTATGACTCAAAAAATGCCTTAATGTATTTCCTTTTTTAAAGAGTTTATAATAACCTAAGTGCTCTTCTTTCTGGTTCGTTGGATCTGCTTTGGCTCAGGCACAAAAACTTTGTGTAGAATAGCAAATCAGTACAAAGAGAGGCTGAGCTGTTTTCCCTCTCCTTTCCTCTCCCTTTTTCCCATTGTGCTGACTAGATTAAATCCTCAACTCATACTCATTGCAATTCAGTATAATCTGCTACGGTGAACATGGGCAGATATTTAAATTGAGAAAATGGCATTCTCCTTTTTACTGAAAAGGAATGCAGAAGTACTTCAAATGTTCTGTTTTCTCAAGGACTTATTTCAAGACATCTTATAGAAGAAAAAGAATTGCCTCAGTTCTGCTATGACACAAGGCAAAATTCTCTTTCATCTAGTGAATAGCCAGAGTGTGGTTTGTGACCAGCTGTGAGTTACTCAGCGAAAGTATAGGAGTAATTCTGTTACCCAGTCTGGACATATAAGTACCCCCATTGTAGTATTAGGGAAGCATCTGCATGTTTCCAGAGGGTGAGCAAGTTTTGGAGGGTTGTGAAATTTTAAAACAGTTTTATACTTTATATTTGAACTTACAAAGTTTGTGTTGAAAAACGAGGAATTTTTTTTTAAGTAAATGTAGGCTATTACAAGAATTCTCACCCTCACATAGGACTAACTTTTTAAAGTGTTTTGTAAATCTCACGTTTACTTATGTAAAAGACGTTTGGACAGAGTTACCCATTTGGAAGCCCCTAAGTGCCCATGTTCCCATTTTAGAAAGCTGGTCTTCTCATCCACAAATTGTATTAAATAATAGAGTCCTGCATCAAGTCTGGTACAAAGCAGGTTGGGTTTGGGTGAGAATGTGAGCTACTTCACATTTTGCAGTTCAGGTGCAAGTCTGAAAAAAAAATTTTGAGGGTTACACTTAGGTTGGAATGTAAGCCTCACCACCGGCTGCTGACAGATGTGACCCCCTCCCCATGCTTTCCCAGAAGCAGCAGCACTTTAGTTCAACCTGGCTCTGTAGCATCTGTATAGATTGGGTGTTTTAGTGGGGCTTTTTTGGCGCTTTTACCTAATAGCTGATTAAATCAGTTTCAGATGAAAGCACCAAAAAGCCCTGCTGAAGCACCCAGTCTATATAGACACTGCATAGCCAGGTTGAACTAATGCACTGCTTCTTCCAGGAAAGCACTATTTTTTCACATCTGTCAGCAGTGTTTTTAACTTTAACAGAGTTTGGGTCAGGTCAGTCTGTGGGTAAGAAGTTGTTGCTAATGCGGGTTGTGGGTTCAGGTCCAGTTCTATATCAGGTTTAGGTCAGAAGCGGGCCTTAAATCAGACGTATGCAGGTCTATATCAGCCCTAGCTTTAGTGTACAATTTGTGTTGCTGTTTTGTTTCACCACTGCTTATTTACAGTACATGTATGGCTTTTCACAATTTTGAGTAAAACTTTAACATTTAACTTTTCCTTTTTCAAGAAACTGGAAGCTGAGCCATCAGAATTGTTTGAGATTGCAGTAAAAGAACTCACGTTTGATCAGCTGCAGTTATTAAAGGTAATGTCATGTTCAGCTAGTGTGACATGCTGTTGCACACGATATATTTTTTTGTTCAGCCTGATTATGAGAGGTCTTTGTTTTGAAGTGGCAGATGTGTGAATAGGGTGGCAAAAGAAAAGGAAAATTGCGGGGGGGGACAAAGTTATTATAACGGTTGCAGTTAATTTCAAGAACACTTTCTTTTCCACATCACTTGCACTTAAAGAAATTGCAGAGGCAGCATGTTCGGGTTTTTGGTGGCAAGAGAACCTCTGTAGCTACTTGCTTGCTGGGAACCATCTGGCCTATTTCTGGTGTGATTTGAAAGCACTTGTTTCCCCCACCCCACTCCAGCATACTGTGTGCAACTTAACATACAAGTACTCTCTTCAAATTTTAGCAGCATACTTATCTTACTGAAGAGGAAATATAAAGATAGAATATTAGTACTAAGCTATGTGAATTACTGAAATGGAATAACAAAAAGCCTTCTCATGGTTGTTAGCAACTAAGTGTGCTTCCTTTTCTCCTCCAAGGATACAGTAGAAAGGAACAATCTTGGAACAAGTTTATATAGGGGTTTAGTATCAGCTGATTAGAATATCATGGTAAAGTAGCTAAAGTTGAGAAAAGGGCTGAATTTTCAGAAGTGCTTCCTAGCTGAAGCTCTTACTATATACTTAATGGAAGCTGAGGGTACTTGGCACTTCTGGAAAACTGGAACTAGGATATTTTTCTTTGTATCATTATAAGCAGTTATAAAGTTTTATTAGGGATATAATGCTTGATTGAAAAAAATAAATAATCTTGTAGTATGTGTGAGGCCCTCTTATTATGGCCTTACCTTGGATATAGTGAGTGAAAAAGTGAAGCAGTCTGCTAAACAGCTCAGGTGATGATCTGTTGGTTATGACAAATAATAGAAGTCATTGAAACTGATAGTTCAGAATTTCTAAGGGAAGGAGATCAAAAGAGGTGGGTTAAGCTTTGTCAATAATAGGAAGAGAAGTCAAAATTTATGTGGCATAAATCTAACATGCCCTTTAGGTTGGGGATAGAGGTTAGGAAGAATATGCAATCCAATCTAAACTGGCTGGGTAACTTGGCTAGCATTATTAGGCTCACATCTTTCTCTCCATTGGGCCATACTGTGGCTGTAAAAGGAGGGTATAACTTGCTAGAAAAAGAAACAACAAGAGATGAGACAGGAGCATGAGAGCTGAAAATTTGAGACCTCTTACTCAAGGAAGGGCATCTTAAATCACAACTTTAAGGTACTGTTACTTGGTTAAATTACTCCATCTCTTCTGTCAGTCTTGGGGGAGATGAGGGATGGAGAAGAAACTGAATGGTTGGGTGGTGCCAGCATATACCCAGCCCAGGTTCTCAGCCATACATATGGCCACATCCCATAAACCAGTGGAACCAATTTTTTGTCTGGTGTGCCATTCTGATCCCTAAGATCCAGAGGTATACCTGACAGTTTGTGTCCTGGGTTGCTGGAATGGAGGCTTGTGCACCACACACAACAGCTTTCTTTGCTGCTTGTATATGTAAGCTGTGGGTTGGCCACCCCTGCCATAAACTAGGGTCAGGCTAAAGCATAGACAGTCTTTGGGCAGAAAAGATGAGGAACCTGAAACAGTCATATAAAGAGTCATTTATAACCAGGGATCCGGGTTTTCAGTTTGCCATGGAAAAATGCAGACTTTCTCCTTTAAAGGGGGAAACCATGGGAAACGGTGGGTTTCCCCACATGGGCTGGCTGAGTTTCAGCCTGCAAGGGGCTGATCAGAGCTGGGGGGAGTGGGGCACAGGGGTGCCATGTGCATGTGGTGCACGCACACATCATGCATGCATGTGGCAACCAGGCAATGTGGTGGAGAGCAGCTCCTGCAGCTCCAAGGTAAGTCTTTGGAGAGTGGGTGGGCACAGGTGACATGTCAGGGAGTGGGGCATAGGTGGGAGGACACGGTGGGGGGGAGATTTGCCCCCTCTAGATTTCTGCACTCACAACAGGGTGCAGGGCTGCAGCTGGGCCTCCAGAGTCCAGTGGGCAGGCCCTGGCACAGGAGGGAGAACTGTGGTGCCATGTCCATTAGGGTGAAGCACTCCTTGCCCATCCAGCAGCAGCAGGGGGCACAACTTCACGCTGCTGCCACACCTTGCCATGGCAGCATGGTGCTCCCAGGTGGCTTCTGCCTGAAGCTGGTCCAGCCTGGTTGCAGCCCAGCACCCCGCTGTGAGTGCAGAAATCTGTGAGGGCACATGTCCCCCTGCCTCCCCCAATGCATCACTTATGCCTACACCTTCCCTTCCCCACCTGCCTACTGTTTTCCATACACCTATCCCTTTCCTCACATGGGAGCTGAGTGGGGAGTGCAGGTCAGGAATGAGGGGTACCAGCAGGGCCGGGGAGCTGCAGGTCGGGAGTGCCACAAAGCAGTGGTTGGGGGGTGGGGGGCACCGCCGCAGATGGACCTGCATCCTGGTGAGCAAAAGGGGCCTGGGGAGCTCTGATTTTTTCCATGATAAAAAAACAAAACCAAATGCCAGAATATATAGGTATTTAAAATTTATTTTATTATAATGATTGATGTACTTCTAAATGAGAAATTGGGATTTTTAAACAGAGAAAATAAGGATCCATGTTTGTTGCTCTGGTGTATGAAAGTAGAGCGGTTCAAGCATTCATATTTTCCTTTGAGATCTTCACTTTAAATTTCATCCTTTTCTGCCTTTCCACTTCTAAGTTTTCTGGTTGGATTTTTAATAAAGCTTTTTCTAATAATTTTTTTGCCTTCTCCATTATAGCTTAACTTTGGCCAGGTTGGAACAAAAATTGTTTCTTACTTTGTCTCTTACTTCCATTCAAGAGCATTTATGTTTAAATGGCTTTTAAACTTAAAGGAAATTGATAATGAACAATTTATATTTTCCCTTATGAAAGTAGTAAAAATTTCTGCAAACAAAAGCATTCTTACTAATTTAAATATTTTTTATGTTCTTTAGCTAGCTCACGTGAATGCGTTGAAATTAAAGGATCAAAATGGTATGTACTAATTCAAAATAATCTTGAGGTTTGTTATCTTATGTTCTGTTATGGTGTTATTTTATTCTGATTTTCTTGGACACTGAGTTGAGATTTTTTTTTAGCAATTGAGAGCTCTAGTAATCGAATTTATACCATAAATGTTTTCAGAGATTTTTATTTAGAAAAGCACAAATGGCTATATATAAATGATATTATATAATACTATGCTGCAACATTTTAAAGGCAAAATTGCTACTGTACTAATAATCGCCACTAGGATCTTTCTCCAAAAGTTCCCCAACCTTATCCATGTCTTAGCTTTCTAGGTGAGAAGGAGAAAAGCCAAGTCTCTCCATGTTCTCTGCAGGACATTGTAAACTTGAGCTGTTGCCAAATATATAATGTTATCTGCTACAACATAATGTTCAACATGATTAAAAATCAGATGTTCCACAAAATCATCTTGGGCACAGGTGGAATAGATCCACGTCTCTCTTCTATCAAAAACCATGTATTAGGTGTTTTGGATCCAGTCTGAAAGAGATGACATGCTTCTGCAATCCACAGGAACAAAATGTGGCTGTGGCACCCATTATTAGGCAGACCATGCATAGTTACTGCTTCCATGTTAAAAGATTTGGCTGTCTCATGTACTATAGTATACTATAGTCTTCAGAAGTCTCTAGATTTTCTCCCAGACAACGCATGCTGGTTAATTGTTACATTTGGTAGTGACGTCTGACGACAATAGAACATACTTTGGGCCTGAAGCTGGAAGGAAAGATTAAAAGCCCTTTTGGCCAGTGTTCCAGTAGATACCATCAAAACACTAGCATAATCCACTGTCATTGTGTGTGTTTCTTCTGACTATAATGGCTGGTTCACAGAGTACACGTGATTCTTTTCCTTCCTAATTGTTGCTTAAACTGAAGAGGAGATATCTATGCTGTAGGGTTCAAATATTGTTGATGACTTGTTTGGGAGTTAAAAAATACACATGCCGCATCCCATAAACCACATCCCATTTATTTTTTCCATACATAAAAAGTTAGTACAAATTCTTGGAAGTAAATGGTTGGAAAGATTTAGAAGTGACTTTAGATACTGTATTAAATATGTTTCTTTTGGTTAATGAGGTCTGTTCCTTTTAACTTGTGGCAAACAGATTAATGCTGAGAGCTCACACTTTATCTGCAGGCTCTGAAAAGGCTAGAACTTTTTTTGAAGCTTCCTTTTGAAGAGTATAATGTTGGCATTTATGGGGAGGACTGGATATCCTGGGTATTGCTAATGAATTATAGAGTCAGCTCTAATTCGAAGTGCAAATTATGCCCAATGCAGCTGGAATTGTAGCTATTTCCATCTAATGGAAGTTTAATGTAGAACCTAGGACATCATATTTGCCTCTGTAGTTTGCCTTCATGTGTAAGCTCTTCAGGATAGGGGTATTTTTTATTCATGCTGTACGTCTGGGTGATACCCTAATAAATACTTCAGGTACTTAGTAGACATACAAAAAACTAGAACTCTTGGTTCCAAAATGATACCTTTTATTAGACCAACTGGGAAATTGCAAGAAAATTGTCCTTTTCTGCAAGCTTTCAGGATTAAAGTCCCTTCATCAGGCTCTGGGAAAAGTATAGATGGTACAAGATGGTAAGAAGTCCCCATTAGTAGAAAATAAACTTAGTACCAAGTACTTAGGTACTTAGTTGAATATGTTGAAAGATTTCCTGCAGCAGAAGTCAGAATCATCTTTCCTCAATTTTAAATCGAGAGAATTTGGAGTTCTGTTAAGTAATCCATGTATTAGTGCTGAGGAGGAAGAATTAAACAATCAGAGGGTAATTTGGCTTTAACTTTTATAAAGGCTCATGAATTTGAAGCAAGTCTTCTAGTTTGGGTTTTGGTAATGCTTCTATTTACCATTAATGTAGTCTTTCATATTTCATTTTAGCATCTTTTAAAGAGGAGGAAAATTATTTTTCTGAGAACCAGCCATTTCCTTCTCTCCAGACCGTAAGTAATCAATGTAGAACAGAGCCATGCAACATTGAAATGTGAAAATATAAATTTTCCCTTGGGTTCTTGTATGCATAGAGCCTAGAAAATGAATATTCAAAAATGTTGGTCCTAGTAACAGCCAAAAGTGCAAAATGAAGCTTATTTTTAGCTGCCACCATGCACATCAATTTAGAGGCTATTCTTTAAAAAAAAAAAAAAAAAAGCAAACAAATATCCAGGTTTTGAATGCTGAAATACTGTAACTGCATGGAATAGAATAATTGTTGTAGACCACAGATAATATTAGTATATCTTCAACACTCAAGATACCTTCTATTTCCAGGATGAATTATAAGTGGAGTCATGTTGATCTGCTGGTTTGAGTTCCAAGAGAAGAGAAAAGTTAATCTTGAAGGACTTTTCCATTTCTTTTCTCTTTTATTTTTTAAACGTTTCTTAGTCATTTAGGTGGTGACATTCTGTTTCTGCTGTGGTGAGAGGTAACAGGCAGAGCCGTCCCTTGTGGGGGCAGGGGCAAATTGGGGTGACTGCCCCAGGCCCCATGCTTTGGGGGGCCCTGAGGACAGTGCTGAGGGTGCCACCACTCCACTGGCTTTGTGCTTGCCACCCCCCTGCTCCATGCTCTGGCTGCTTGCCACCCTGGCTCCTATCCCCACCCCATGCTTTGGCTGCTCATCACCCCTGCCCCTCACCCCTAGAGTTGGCCCTGGTCACAGGTAGTTAAAGTATTTCCTCTGAGGGACTGCTTAGAAGCAGTGGTGTTTGGGAGCCAAAGAATTTGCTTTAGTAGTGGAAAAGAAACTAAAAATAAATAATAGATGCCTTATATGCTCACCACAACTGGTAGCAATTAAGAGCTGCAGGTGCATAATATCCCTGAAAATCAGATCCTTTGGGGATTTAGGCATCCAAATAAATGCCACAAGTAGAGGAATATGTAGTTACTTCTGACAATTTTAGCCTTGCAGTTTGCTGTTACCTTTTTATAACTGTAGTAATGTGGTTACTATGCACAGGGCCCTATCTGTCATACCCACCGAGTCTATAGTAAATTATTTGTAATTAATTTATATCCTGGGAAAACAGCCTGCTTGTCAAAATGCCTAAGACTGTTTTAATATCCTGCAACTAGGTACCAATGTAGTTACCATGTGCAGGGTCCTGTTTCTTGCACAACTCTAAAAATACTATTACTACTTTTACAGTTGTGATACAGTAATATTTTATTAGTAAAGCTTTTGTATCTATTAGATTTGTATTAATGCACTGCTTAGCTTCTGCTACTCAGGACAGCCGGAAACAGAGTAATGTATACAGTTCTAATATTATGCTAATGACGTATTGCCACCACATTTTATATTACCTTTTTTCAGAAACTACTACACAGTCTGATAAATACTTCCATTTATCTTATGTTACCTTACCTTACCAAATTTTCTTAACTACATTACTTTGCACTGGTTGTTTTTTTTCTAATGCCTGAATCATTAGTTTGCATGTCTATTTATTATATGCTATATTTACTTGAATATAAGACTTGGATATAAGACTCGAATAAAAAGGTTTTTTCCCCAATAAGCACGGAGGGAGGGAAGCTCCTTGTCTTACATTCACGTGCAAGGATATCTCATTAAATGCTTTGTCTGTTATTAAACTGTTGCCAAACCTGCGTGTACTCAGTAATGAAAACCAATTATGATTAGGTGCAGCCAAGTCTGCGCATGACTAAAACACATGGTCCATATAGGGCAAACATAATGATGGGAGCCTTCCACAATGACAGATTAGTGCAGCCCATTTGAATAAGGTATATGGTGGTGCCCATTGTGCTCAGTCCCCCTCAGCACCGGCTATTTTTTCAAGTCATGGCAAGCCACTACATTGCATACATTTTGACTTCCTCTTTATTCCCACAGCTGAGCTGTGCCTGCCTTTCCCATTTCCAAGAATCCTGTTGTTCCACCAGCCTTAAATGTCTGACAAACATCACCAAATGGGGCCCCAAGCAGTTCACCCAGAATCCCTCTGTCGTCCCCTTTCTCAATCTGTCACATATGATTAGCGTGGCCCTGCCCTCCATGACGTGGTGCTGGACCAAGTTGCCCTGTGCCTCATCTGTGTGCACATTTTTGGAGGGTCACAAGACTCTTGACAAGAAGACCCAGTCCTAGTCATGAGTAGGGAACTAATTAGCACATGGATCCTTTGTGGGGGTATCTGGAATACACACACATACTGACCAGCTGAGCTATTGGGTCACGATGACTTGAAATGCTGTTGGCTCTGGTGTGGCCCAGCCCAGTTAACTATATGGTAAATAATGAGTCCTCTGGGTTTGGATTAGTAGTTGTACTGTACAGTTTGTGCAGCTGTTTCTCTGAACCAAGTACAAGAGCCAGATCTGCAAACTGGAAGTAGGTGCAGACTCCAAAACAGCCTGCTTCACAAAATATTTTTCAGGGCATGTGCTACAACACTGGGCAGTGTGCATGCTGCCTAACATGTGCCTGTAGGCCTTGAAATTGCCATGGTTCTCCCATGGAACCTGTCTCCTATGTGGCAGACAAGGATTCTACCACTACACCAGAACATATATATTTCTGCAAAAAAAAAAAGCAGAAAATAAAATGATTTGTGCTATATATAAGAAGGTTAAAAGTATGGTTATGGAGTACCTGTGCTAAAGCTTGCAGCAGTTTGTAAAAAAGGTAAAATGCATCAATTCTGGATGAACTAAGTCTGTGGGTACCCTATATGCAGGTTAGTACAGGCATGTTTATTTCAGTGTTTTTAAATTTGCCCCTTATTTCATGTATTCAGGGAGACCAGTCTGACAGTAAAGGGATGCGGGGAATTTTGGAAGGGCAAGGAAGCCCCCAGATTTATTTTGCCTGCTCTAGCTGTGCAAGGGGGACAAATTCAAGGCAGACCTCCAAACTTAGATTCTGTATCTAGAAAATTACAACAAATTTACAAATTGTCCATATATAGAATCTAACTGGGAGGCTGTCTTATATTCGAGTAAACATGGTAATAACAGCGGCTCCTAGTTGCAACGAGGGTGTAGTGTTAATTTACTAACACGTTAGCATTTCAAATTTAATCTAGTTGCAAGTTGGCAAATGTAGATATCAGTTACGGATAGACAAAATACCTGGTTGTCCAGCCAAGCCATTGCATAGCTAAAGCCAATGGATAAACTGCATCAGTTTTCTGACAAACTGACTTATTCAGATTGATTTTACAGATTTTCATCCCCATTCCCTGTCCTCCTCTCCAGTCTACCATCAGTGGGGTGTTCAGCTACGTTCTTTTGCAGCTGTCATCTTTTGACATGTAAAAGATTCAGCTAACAGTGTTTTATTAATTACAAAAGTTCTTTATAATAATGTATAGCTGCTTACTGATTTTACTGGTATAAAGCATTAGAACAAGTTAATACTTCCTTTGAATACTTAATAACACTTTATTGTATTCTGAGGCTTGAGGATTTAGTGCTTTGCTGCACAAAGAATTTACATACAGGATATATACTGAAAAACACTGTGCTGTAGGCTGTTGGTCTCCCAAACTGACGTACTTTTCTTCTATACAAAAGATAAATATGAACATATGGGAACTTCTCAGATGAGCTCTCAAAAAAAGGAAGGTTATTCATCTCAGGGAATTTTTTGTCCTTTAACGAAAAGAAACAGGAAAAATATTGATTCTTTTAAAGTATTTGAACATATTATTTTTCATCAAATATGATTGTATCAAAGGCTTCTTGATAAATAGCTAACTAGAAAATGCAGGTGTTGTTTCAGTATTTGTAAAAAGTAGATCTTGACGTACTTCATTGAAGTTAGTTGCACATCATGCCATTTCTCATTCTGAAGGGTGCAACTCATTTATCCAAAGTGAGCTAAGAGAATAATAGAGAAGAGGAATGGATATCTCTCATCTTAAAAAAATTGACTATTTCCTTTATCATTGTGTGAAATTTCAGTATTTTTGACCAGCATTTATCCTTAACAATGGTGCTGTATGGACAACTTGTGAGTTAATGCCAGTGTCATCTTACCTAGGTTCTCGAATCACTTCCTCAAGATGTTGGGTTTAACATAGAAATAAAATGGATCTGTCAACAAAGAGTGAGTAATCATGCATGTTCCTTGTTTTTATACATTATGTTATTTTGCAGACTATTTATAAATATCATGATATAGCAGTTTGCCTACGACAGACCTAAAATTTACTGTACTGCCTTTTTTATTGTTTTTATTTAATTGAAAGTTAATGTTACACAATACTGTGTACCTTTATATTTTAACAGTTGAAGACAGTTTTAACTTGCACATTTTGTCCTTTTGACATCAGAAAAAGGAAGTAAGTACCTATCAATCCTGTAAATGTGCATGCATGTGTGTGCATGCACATACATGTACACACATTCTCTTCTTTAAACAGGTATGTAAGTCTAGGATAGGGCCACAGCGCAGATTCAACCTTTTAAAACATTAATCTTACTAGAAGGCAGTAGCCTTCCCAGTCAAATATTGATACTATATCTGTATACTTATAAATAGCTGTGCAAAATATCTGAAGGTTTTAGTAATCTTTTGTATGTTTTCACTATATTTGATGATTTTAACATTTTCGTCTTTTCCTTTAACATAATTAGCCTTTAAATGAATCTTTATTCTGCAAATAGTCTTTCATTTTGGTTAGGTTGTGGGAAAATAGTTGCAAACAGCCCTTCTCTTCTGTAAGTAGGGATGGATAGGCAAATAGTAACTTTTCTTTTATTTAGTTTTACAAGCTGAATTTTTCTGTTTTTGAATAACTTAGATATTGAGAACTCTCTCTAGGTAGCTGAAAAATTTCAGTAATTACAAATTTAAACAGCCAAATCTTGTCCTTATTTTCATAGGATGGGAAATGGGATGGTGGCCTGTCAACCTATTTTGACATGAACCTCTTCTTGGACATCATTCTGAAAACCACTCTAGTAAATGCTGGAAGGAGGAGAATTGTATTTTCTTCTTTTGATGCAGACATTTGCACAATGTAAGATAAATAAGAGTCATTTTTAAATGTTATTTTTAACTTAATTATAAATACAGGCATATATGAAAATGTTTTGGAGAATCTAAGTAAAATGTAAATTCTGAAACTCATTTGAATTTGAATGACAACACGTTTGGAAAGTTAAGTCCCTAAACTAGGAACTAGACCTCTCAGCCACCTGACCATGTCCCCAAATAACAAAAAAAAAAGTGAGTGAAAGATGTAACACATTATGAATTCAGGTGCCTCATTAATTGCTTCAACAAATACCTGTTTTCTCAAAAGAGCAGGAAAATATGCAGACGTTATGCTGGGCTGTCATTTCTTCTTTTTCAGTTCTTTTACTGTGGGTCCAGTGTGCAAATGGTTTCTTCCATTAAGTTGGAGGTTAATGTATTGACTAAACAGATACTACCTTATAAGCTAGATGTGAGAGTTGACAGTGGATAAATTATTCCTTTACTCTGTTGAACAGTCAGAACAAGGCAGTGGAGATGCTAAAAGGGATTCGGTATTCAGTGATGGTGCAGAAAAGATAGAGCACTACGCAGCATGCTCATCTTGGGTTTGCATCAGTTTGGAATGCGTTTCCTTCTGGGTATTGTATAAGAAAAATAATGACCAAGTAATACATATTCTACAGTTTCAACACAGTTCTAGGTATTTTCAGTACAAACAAATACAAGGATAGTACATTTATCTGGCAATAGCCAGTACTTGTCACATTAAGGACTGTCTTAGAACTAGGGATTAAGTCTGCATCTGGCAGTATTTAATTTGTATGCAGTAAATTACTGTAGTCTGGGAAGACACAAAACAATTGAAATTCTTAAAGGGTGGAAATTTATCACTGGTGAGCGTATATCAGTTGACTTGTTTGTGTTGTGTGTTGGTTTCTACTTTGTGTGCTAGAAACACTGTTGAAAAGATTCCTTTTCCTTAGGAATATGTTAAATAGCGTTCTATATTTTAAAACTCTTTTTACAGGGTTCGACATAAGCAAAATAAGTATCCGGTGTTGTTTCTGACCCAAGGAAAATCTGACATTTATCCAGACCTTATGGATCTTAGGAGTCGTACAACTTCTATTGCAATGAGTTTTGCGCAATTTGAAAATTTGCTGGTAAGTTGTTACATTTCTTTATTCATCAGTGAAATGGAACTAGTTTATTACTGTATTCTATAATTGCTGATATTGATGACTGGATACAGAAACTGAATTCTAAAATGAGGTGATCAGCAAATTATTAGCACAGGAAAGTGTTGCGAGTCTGCAGCACCCTGCCGAGCCACACTG